AAGTATGTTGCTTCTAAATTGTTTTTATAAATTTTTTTAACAAACATTAAGCCGATTTCGATATCTTTCTTACTGAAAATGATTGCGAACCACAATTGGCCAGATGTGCAACTGCAAAAAATGCTTTAGCTGTTTCGAGTGAATGGATTATACAAGTTATAATATTTTTAATTTAGTTGTAAGTTCTAAAAACTTTTTTTATTAGGCAATGGTTACTGGAGAATTGCCTCCAATAGAGGAATGTGATCGTTTCCGCTATGACTATACTTAAGAAAATAACATTAAAAATGGATGTCAATTTTTGATATGGATTATAAAAATATTTTTCGTTTGATTTTCCCCTAAGAATTATACCGATACTGACTTTATATATTTATTTCGAAAATATGTATCTTTTCTACAATTATATATAAAATTGATCTTGAGTATTTTTTAACTAGGACATAGCAGATCAGGCTGTTTTCCCTCTGCTTCTACTTTTTGCGTGCATTTTTTAAGGATATTATCATTTTTGATGTGCCAACTCTCGATAAAACTATAGATTTAGAATTGCCTTACCATATCATAGATAGGACTCTAGAGATTCATTAAAAGAATAACCCCAAAAATTTTCCGACCGCTTTATAATCAATTTTGTATTAGACGCTTTTAGGTTTACTTCTGCCGGGTCCGCCTACTTTTAGTACCTTCTCAATTTTAACATAAAATATATGGCATTTTGAGCATTAATGTAAGGGGGTGTGGCAGAACGGAAAAGTAACAAAATTGTTTAGAAAAACTTTTAAAAACACAATCAAATACTAGATATTATTCTTTATTTTTAAAAAATCAGTCAAAAGTCCAAATAAATTTAACAAATTTGCCAAAAACAAAGTCTCAACAATTTTAACATAAAATATATTTTCATTATTTATTTTATACCCCAAATTCATTTATTTAGCCGTAAGTGTAGTCGAAATAGAATTAATGTCATTACAACGTTGTTGCTGTTGCAAATCATTCAAAAAAAGTTGATAGAGACGAGAACAAACTTCAGTAGCCACCAAATCACCCAAATTTTTACGCAAAAAGTGAAAAAGTAAAAGACCATCACAACCCAAAATATTTTTACTGAAACGTTTGACGTTACGGCTATCTGGAAAGAAAAAAAGAAAAATTTAATAATGGATTTAATTAATAATTCTTTGAATCGGTTCCCACACTGGCTACGTGCCTGTTCCTATTGTAATTAAAAATATTTAATTAAAAACCTAAAGTCATTCGTGTAGCATCATCTCCAAAAATTTCACGGTCATTTACCAACGACAAAAAGTCAGAAACAAAATGTGCCTGATATGCATGACCAAACCACAAACGCATATAGTAAACGCCAGCAAAAATGGACATTGCAAGGAGTGAATAATACCAGAAGAAAAGAATAAGAAAAACCTTTAAGAATTTCAAGTTTTAAATAACCTTTAAGGGAAAGAACCTTTTCATTCAACATATTAATCCCAAGAGTACAACGAGTTTCTTGAGTCATTCCTCCCTGCATTAATCCAAGAAAGTCACGATGAAATTGACAATAAGACACGCGAGGAAAGTAAATAAAAGAATTTTGAGCTGGAGAAGTTGCTGTCTCTATCGGAATGAGAATTTGACGGGCTAACTAAAATTTTGTTAAATTTTTGAATCTAAAATGCAATAAATGAGAGTTGAACTACAAGATAGAGTCAAAGACAACTTTGATCCTGTAGTCTAAATAGTAAAGTAGAAAATTCAGACTTCGACCAAGATTCAACACAATCTCTATAAATAACCGACAGATTTCTGGACAAGGACCCAAGAGAATTATTTCATAAATATTACTGTAATTCCCCAAAAAGGATTCCCATATCCAATAAAAACATTGAGAAGAAAAATTTGAGCAATAACCATCAACAAATTTGCCAATTTGAAAAAGGTGTAAAATAAAATTGTTTTGTTGCCAATTCCACGCATTCCACGATGTTTAACAATCTTTATTCGTAAAAATTATTTAAAATAAAAATTTAAAAAAACCTGAAAAATATAATTGGCAGCTGCATTAATATTTTGTAAACGATTTTCTGCATGTCCAGTCTTGACTTTATCACAAATTTCGTTTACAACAGAAAAATCAACATCTGAAAAATTAGAACATTTGGTTCTTTGTTCATTACCCCACCCCTCTCTTCTATTCAAGAATGGAAAGAACTAAATAGGGAAAATAACCTGTATAAACTGTACAGCCAAACCCAAGGAATTAAAAATTTAAAAAAAGAAAATAAAGGGTGAGACAAGGAAAAAATTTAGTCTCGGAATCATAATCTTGAAAATTCCTAGTAAATTCCCGGTCTCAGAGATGCCCAAGTAAATATAAACTACTTTCAGAACGTTAAAAAACAAACCAGAACTAGAATGTCCTAAGCGAAGCAAGAAGTGCGGTAAACGCATTCCAACAGCTAAGCCAATGAGAAGAAAAGGAACCCATTGGTAATAGTTGATATAAATACGTTCCTCCTTTTCATCGAGATAGCTTGTTGGCGCTTCGCTTCCATCAACATATTCAACAGCATCAGCAACAGGAAGAGTTGTTGTCTTTGAAGGAACTTTGACATAAGTGCCAGTGACATGGCAGTATTGATGAACAAAACTTGCCCAAGGTCCTTAAAATAGAAAGAAAACTTAAAATTTTTCAAAAAAAAACCTGAGAATTCAGACGGCACCATACAATTAATAGGTCGTCCAAAAGTGTCGATAGTTCCAGTGACAAGCATAAAGATGGTCAATAAGAGCGGGGTATAGTGACAACAACAACGATCGACATAGTCAAAGAGACAAACTTTTTTCGGGCTTAAAAAAGCAAATTATAAATTTTGGTGAGGGGGAATAAAGGAAAGGAGGAAAGCCTCAATCTCAAGTTTATTGCATATCTTTGAATTAACATTTCTGTACTATGGAAGAACCCATCTCCTTCTCGCGAATGATGGAACCCTAAAAATATTAACAGCAGACAACCAGTCCTCGGATCAGGGCGACCCCAAACTTTTCCCTCTGTTTTACCTAATAAAACGAGCAACGGAGTCAATTACTGCACGCATCTTTCAATAGAAATTATAATCAATAAACGTTTAATAGATTCTGAAAAAAATATAAATTACGTAAAATGACTTAAACGATGACAAAAAGATTGACAAACTTGTCGAAGAACTCATTTTAAAAATAATAGATATTTTAATATTATTTATTATGACATTTACAATACAACAAAAACAAATAGAAAACCGCTCAAAACATCTAAAATTAGAAAAAGTCAAAACATCTAAAACAGTTTGAGTACCAACACAAAACACCCAAGAAGTTTTTTTAATGTTTTGAACGGTTTAAGGTAATCTTTATTGTTTTCTATATCTCTCACTCACATTATATCATTTACTCTACTTAGACAATTCATTAGAATCGCTTTCACTTCCGCTTCCAAATTTCGAAGGTTCAGCGTTATGGCCATCCAAGTTATAGACTTCATCGCTTTCGCTTTTTTCTGAAGATGATCCACTCGTAGAAGTTTCTTCTTCTAAAAAAATTTTTTAATAGCCAAAAAAGACAGCAAAAAACAAACCCTCCTCCTCTCCAGAAGTTGATGTACTTGTAGTTCCTTTACTTTCCGTACTCGATTTTGTCGCCGCCCTCGATTTGGAAGTTTTTGCAGTCTTTACACTACTACTACCAGTTGCTGATGCTTTCAATTCAGCATTCAATTCTTCAACCAATTGCAATTCAGAAGTACTATGCCGAGCAGAAATAAATTCTCCTTTCGCTGTTTTCATTTTTGTACGCATTTTGCGCAGTTCATCTTGCTCTCTTTCGCTGCCTGATATTAGAGACGAAGGAGGACGGCCAGCAGAAGAATACGAAGAATAGTCGCCAGCCGATTGCGTGTCGATTTTCACTTCTAGCGAAGCAGAAGTTGTGTTATCAGCTCTCGATCTAACATCAACAGCAGTCGAACTCTTTACCTTCTCTTCACGGACCGGATATTCTTCCTTCTTTGGACGGCAGAAGATGCTGGTGATTGTATAGGCAAAAGCGGTTCTTCAAAAAAACAATTTTTTTTAATTTCATTTCTAACAAAACAAACATTATCAAGTAGATCAACGCGCAGATAGCCATATACATCCAAAACCCAGCAGTTTCAGGCAGGCCTGTATGTGTCAAAAACGAACTGAAAAGAAAAAAAACTTTTAAATTATTCAAGTAAAAACTCTAAACTAATTGATATCCCGTTTCTCAATCCTTCGTCCCTGACTTCCAACGTCGTTGTTGTTGCCGAAAGGAAAAGTTGTGACCAGATTGAAGAAGAATATATTGAGGACAACGAATTGATACAACAGCAACATTTTTTGTTGAATTAGAAGCAAGTACACACAATTTCGCGAAGAAGATAACTTGGCAAATTAGAAGATTAATAAACTAGATTAAACAAAAAACCTTTATATACTACGAGATTATAGTATAAGACTCCTTCATTTCCGCCTGTTTGTCTTATTTAGAAAAACTTTTTTTTTTAATTTTCGTAAATTCTAGAATCAAAATAATTGTCTATCTACTTTCATAAGAAGGAATTGTGGCTCTTTCGAAAAAAAATAAAAATCATCCAAACATTTTTAACCCCCATTAGAGAGAAAGGATGTGCCGTTTTTTTCGTGCCCGTTCTGGGTCACCAATTTTTTAACAATTTTAACTAGGGTAGCACCTTTGGGACGAGAGTGTCGGGGTTGTCGGGGTGCTACCCTACTTTAACAGATATGTATATTAAACAAAAATAAAATAAAATTAAAAAATATTTTTTTATTTAAAAATAAAGCTCTCTGATACATAATATTTACAAAAATTTTCACGAAATAAAACAATTAATGATGCTCAAAAAACATTTCTTTTTTTCTAATTTTTATGCTCTAGCCGTATAATACTAGAAAAAAAAGAATTTTTAAAATTAAATTTTAATTTTCCCTTACCATCCAATAAATTAAATTGAATAAACCAAAAGTTATTGGAAAGAATTTTTGACAAAATCTTTTTAAAAAAATTCTTTATTTAATTTAAAAAAACATTCAAAAATCAACCTATCCAAATCTTCTCCCGTCCATTTACTAAATAATTTTGGCGTTACAATTTTTTGATTTTGTTGTCTTAGGCGTTTTAAAGACATTGCTCTTTTCATCCATGTCCTAGCAACCATTGCAGCTGCTTCATTTTGTTGTTGAATATTTGAAGTTATTGGATGGTCTGATGAACGTCTTAAAAGAATTTTTTAAATTAAAGTTGAGGAGGAGGTCTGTGGTTCTACCCCTATCCTTGTCCCAAATTTTTTAAAGGTTAATTTTTTGTTAGACATAAATTCAAAATGTTAAAAAATTAAAAAAGACGTTAAAAACATCCAAAAAAACAAAGAAAAACAATTTTTAAAATTAAATTAAAAATAAAACCTGGGAATTAAAATGCCCGCGACAGAACCTCTATATTGTGGCAACATTAAAAGTTGTTGATTGATATTAATATTATTGTTAGTAGTACTGTAATATGTATAAACAAATTACATAAAAGCCTATTTAGAGAAAGGGGGAAAAGCCTCAAAGAAATTCTTTTGGAGGGTGCAGGTTCGAATCCGCTTCAGGCCTCCGAATTTTTTAAATTACAATTTTTATATTTATGTTAGAATATATGTTAAATTTAAAAAAAAGGTTAGAAGAAACGGCAAAAACAAACAAATTAATTATCTCATAAAAACAAACCCTCCTTCTTTTATTCCTCCACCTCCATCTCCCCCTCCTCCACCACCGCCCATTAACATCGAAGCCATTTCACTATTATCATCGGAACGCGATATACGTAAATGTTTTTGCCAATCAGAAGAACCGGGGGTTGCTGCGGAAACACCTACAGCTGCTGCAACAGCTGTTGAACCTGAACTTGTTGAATCTAATCGACGAAGGCGATGCTTAATTAAAAATAAATTTCTTTCATTAGAAATTAAATATCAGCAATTATAAATGGAAAGAAAAGAGAGGAAGGAGAGTTTAGATAGAAATGTAACTCCTCCCATCCATTACCATTAAATACTAGTAAAAGATAGGTAAATAGGAAGTTAAAAAATTATAGAAAAATATCACCCATATTACAAAAATAAAGTCCCCCTTAAAACACTTTTTTAGAAGTAACCACGAAATATCCAGTCCCAATTTTTTAAAAATAAAATTTCTTGGAGTTTAGTTTCAAATAAATATTCAGACTAAAGAATATAAAAAACCGTTGTTTTATCATTAAAAGTCCTTTGAAATGCTTTACGGGCAAAGCCAGTACCAAAAGTCATTCTTCTACTTCCCCCATCACCTCCCAAATCTTGAAATTGTTGCATTGATGCTGCATTTGCTTCCTTTTTTAAAGAAAAAATATTTTTATAGAAAAATAATAACCCCTGAGCGGATTCGAACCTGCATCCCCTCCCCTCTATGCCCCACATTTAACAAAAAAACCTTTTCCAAAATGCCAACCATAGCTAATTCACAAATTGACAAAAATATATAAGCAACACAACCCATCATAAATAAATCAACTCCTTTAATATAACTAACCTTTAAATTTAAAGTTAAAAAGTTTTTAAAATAATTTAAAAACAAACTTTAGGTAAACTTCTAGCAACATTTGCATATTGCATTGTTAAAGCCAAAATTGAAGAAACGCCGAGGGTAACTCTAAAAATTAAATAAAAGCCTCAAAAAAGTTTTAAAAATAAAACAAAAAAATTACAAGAATAACGTAACAAATATTATTAAAAAATATTCCAAACGGATTCGAACTTGTAACCCCCACCAAAAAAAGACAAAAAACTTTTTTCCCCAAAAAATTTTCAAAAAATTTAAAAACCTTGCCGGTAATGATTTTCTGTCTAACCAGAAAGAAATCCAAGAAATTAGCACCATACAATAAGTAGGCAGATAAATTTGAAGAATGTAAAAACCATAAGAGCGACGGTAATAAATTTTGATACTTACCTGAGAAAAAATTTTTTATATTATTAAAAATATTCAAAAAATTAAAAAAAATACTTGATCCCAAAGGCCAGCAGGATATTCAAATGTAGCCCTTGCAGTAACATGACCGGCGTATTGAAAGTCTGGCAAACTGACCTTGAAATTTTTTTAAATTTAAACAAACATTTTATTTTTATTACGAAAACAAAACTAAAATTGTTTAAAAATAACCCCAAATCTGGTTCAAAACAGATCCCAACCCCCTTCCTAACCCTCCTTTAACAAAAAAAATTAGTTAAACGGGAAAATTAAAACAAACATTCGACAGGAACATAAATGATTCGCCTTGCCTCCAATCAAGTCTCACCTTGCCCACATTAAAAGAATAACTTTCAAATATTGTAGTACATTCTACTCTGTCCATCTTTATAAAAAGAATTATTTATTTAAAAATAATTTAAAAAAAACCGGGAACGTTGTAAATTCAAATTCACACGGAGATTCAACTGCTATCCTGTAATTTAGCCAAACTGTTCCATTGGGAAATATTGCTAAATTTTAAAAAATTATAGAAAAATAATGAAGTAGTTAAGGTGCGTTAGAAGATTATAAAAGTATAATCTCCGATACTACCAAAGTAAGAAATTCTTCAAATAAAAAAATTTAAACCTAAAAATATATTTGGTGTCGGAGATGAATGAGTGAAAGAAGCCTTCGAGTTAACAATACAAACATTTGGGATCCATAAACTGTCAACCTTTAAATTTAATTTGAAATTTAAAATTTTACAAAAAATATACATACCATTCTATGAGATAATGACAAATTTGTAAGGCATTGAGCACCCTCTTCTTGCTAAAAAATATTAAAACATCATCAATATTTAAAAGAAAACCTCAAAATTTAATCCCGGATCGTGCCATATTTGTGAAAGCATTATATCCATTTTTGAGGAGGAAAGTAATTCGTTTATTTCTGTTACTTTTTGAATAAGTAATTCAATTTTAACGTCAACTCCTTTTACTGAAGGCACCAAATTACGGTCATAACGTTTGAGTAGATCAGTCAAAATTCTGTTTTTTTTGAAAAAATATATGATTTATTTTTAGAAAATTGAGGGATTAAAGATAACAAAGTCGATTTAAAAAAGGTCGGCAGTTGTAAAGTCAAATCAGATTTCAGTGATTTTGGTGTACTTCGACTCAATACTGCCGACATAAAAATGTTGGCGATTTTGGAAATGGGAATTCCCAAGAAAATTTAATTTCCGATTCCGCCCAGTATTCCAACCTTGTTGCATGTTTTTCAGCCTGCCCCAAAACGCATTGTTGATCATTTTCATTCTCAACATAATTTAACATTAAACCCCCAACATCTGTAGATAAAGATGAAGGCTCCTCAGCATGTGAAGGCTCGACACGTTTAGCAAAACCCCCATATCTACTTGACTGGTGATGAGAAGCCGGTAGCTGTGATTGAACACAACGATCAGAAGTTTTTGAAGAACGTTGAAATCCCTAAAGGGATTGACGTTCAAATATTCAAAAAACTAATATAAAATTAGAAAAAATGCTAAACACAATTAGGGATTCGAACCGACATCGAGTACCTATCAGGGAAACGGGCCGACAAAAAACAAAATTCCCAATTTCGTGAAATCGGGATTCCCGAACCAAAAAAGGCCGTGAATTCGATTTTCGGGAATCGAGACGGCTCGTTCCCTGTCAAGTACATATAACCCCCAACGAAACACACATTTAGCGAACCTGTCTACATTCACAAGTAATTTGTCCGTTTGTCCATCTTTTGCAGTAAGAAGAACGTAAATCACATTTAAGACAATCTTTATTATTTTTTGTTGAAGTTGTCGGCTCTTCAAAATTATTTGACGAAAAATTTTCTTCCAAAGGTAAAGACGAAGATTTACACATTTGAATATTAATAATTAATAAAAATATAATGAAAATAAGTGAATGAAATAAATCAAGTAAAGAAACAAAGTGAGGAGGTTTTGCAAGAGTTTTAACTAAAAAATTTAAAAATTAATTATTGTTTTTTAGACTGCCTAAAATTAAAATGGGAGAAGGCGCAAGGCCAAAACTGCGCAAAGTGATAGAGTGAGTGATATTTGTGACCGATCAAGAATCACTAACCACCCTCTAGGTAAACTGATCATTCGGTTAAATACTCAAATTGTGCAATAGGTTTTGCGCATTAAGGGGAAGTTGTTTCAATAGGAGGTTGTTCCGGCGACGTTGGGTGTTGCGCCGTCTTACATTAGCCCTGCCTTTTTGGCTTTGCTCTTTTTCGGGCTGTACCAACAAAAGGTCCAAAAATAGCCAAGGAAGTCTGTCCCACGGCCGTAACCAGGGTAGGGGGGGGGGTTTGTAACCAGGGGGTTTGGTCAATAAAATACCCTAAAACAAACCTTTTATTTTTGTTGAATTTTTGTAACTTTTAAAAGAATAGTTGTTTATTATTAAAGAGAAATTTATTTGCATTGTAGTACTTGCTCATGTTTTAATAAAATTTTTGCGAAGTAATTTTTTGCATAATAAAAGAATTAATTAATTGAATATGTATGGCACATAAATTAATTAAAATTTAAAAATTCGTTTTCCTTTTCCTATTCCCTAAAGACAAAATTACCAACAAAATTTTTTAAAACGAACGGAACTCTCGTTTATACGACACCTCTTGTGCAGAAATCCCGACTTAAAATTAGAGTGTCGTACAAACGAGTTTCGGGGTTTAATACATATCTCGATGAAGGAAACACATTAGAACTTCGTTTCTTTTGCATTTCCTATCTATATTGATAGATAGATTCAGATAAATTTTTGTGAATTTTTTGATTGATAAATAAAAATTTTGGAAGGGGGTGCGTATAATTAGCTAACAGAGTGTATTTACATATAGAACAAAAGAAAATTTTTTAAAGTTAAATAACCAATCAAAACTAAATTCTTTTTTAAACAAAGAAAAACGTAATAAAAATTCGTTTAATTAAATTGTGCTCAAGTATACCCCCTCCTCCCCTCTCTCAATTTTTAAAAATTTATTTCATTAAAAATTTTCTTTTGTTTAAAATCCTTCAAAAGAAGTCCTTTTCCACTTAATAATTAAAAATAAATTCTTTAAAAAAATACTTTTTAATTTTTTTCAATTATGTCAGAAACGTAAAAAGACGTGTGTTTTTAGCAAAAAAAAAGAAATTTTCTTAAAACAAATAAAAATATTCTTTTTTATCCTTTAGGCTATCGCGCACTATTAAACACACATTTTTAAATTAAAAACTTTTCCTTCTTTTTTCTCTTTTAAAAAAAGTTCAAAGAAATGAGAGGAATTTTTTAATAAATATTTTTAAATAAAAATCATAAAAAAAAATAAAAAGCGTGAATGTGTGTGTGTTGTCGACACCTCCAAGCAAAAAAATATTTAAAAGGAAAAATTTGTTTCTATTTAACTATGTAAATATTTTACTTTTAAAAGGGGGGGGGGGACTTTATGATTGAATGAATTTCTCATAAAAATAAATTTTTAAAAATTAAGTGAAAAAAAAACATTTATGTAGGTAGGTGTTTTTTAGAAGAAAGTAAAGTAAAGAAGTAAATTGAGATGGAAATTTAAAAAATAATTTTTCCGCCTTATCAGACTCTAATGTCCAAAATTAAAAAATTTTAAGATTTGCAAAATGTCCAAATTTAAAAAATTCAAAGAGAAAAAAATGGAAAACTAGTGTTAATGACGATAAATTTTTGGGTAATTTTTAGGCCAGAATACACTTAGCATGTACTAAACCTAAAATCCCACCAAATTTGCAAACATTTAAAGTGTGAAAATTATGTAAAATGATCTCCCCCCCCTCTTTTTTCTAAAAATCCTTTATAAAAAAATAAAGTAAAAATAACAGAGAAAAATGTCAAACCCACAATTTAGCTAATAATAATAAATAAATTGATGGACTATTTAAAAGATTTTTTGGCAGCAATTGCTGCTACCTCAAAAAAAAGTTTTTAAAGAGAAGATCGATCGAGAAGAAAAAGAATGGAGTAAATAAATTATATATTTTTTAAAGTTTTAAAGAAGTTTTTGAAATTAAATATATATAAATGGAAAATAACGGACAATAACAGGACTCGAGCCTTCCCATCAACAGTCAAAAACCCTAACCTCTGACCAACCAAAATCCAATAAAAACTGTTAACAGGCTTACTTAATTTTCCATTTAAATTCCTAAAAATTGTGCCATAAAAATTTTTTTCCTAAATATTCTAACCTCTTCTATACAAAAATGTTTACCTTCACATATTTTTCCTTTTTAAATAAGCAAATCCTTCCAAAAATGCCTAAAGCCAAAATTCCCATAGTTTTTTAAAGGATTAACACAAATACACACACAACTGTCGCTTTTAACAAAAAATTATTTTTTCAACACCCCTCTCCCATAAATAAAAAATATTTTTTTGTTTTATATTTGCATTTAAATTGTCAAAAAAAAATTAAAAAAATAAAAGAACAATTTAATTAATTAAATCAGTAAATTAATCTCAAAAAGGGGATGGTGGGGGTATATCAAAAGAGAGAGAGAGGGAGTTATTTAAAAACGTTTTATAAAAAGTAAAGCCCATTATGTCCATTTTTTTATTTTATTAGGTTATAAACTTCTGAAAATTTAATAATGCTAGGGGTTCTAAACATATTGCCGACAATTTAATTTAAATTTTGTGCAAATAATGTTAATTCAAAAATAAGCTAAATTAAAAGAAAAATATACAAAAATTGAGATTAGGTAGATTGTTTTGAAAGTTTTTATTTAACTTTTTTTGGATCGAGCAGACATTTTCAAACTTCCAAAAATCTAATCTGACAAAAAAATATTGAGGTAAATATCATTTAAAAATATACAAAAAAAGGATTTTGCAAAAAATACTTTCTTTTTTCTCTCAACAAAACTTGATAAAATTCTTTCCGTTTAGTTTTGCGCATTTTTTTTTGCAAAATTAAAATTTAATAAAAAATTTCTTTTCGAAGCCTAAATTATCAGAAATAAAAAATAAATATAATTAAAATAATTATTTTCTTTAAAATATAATTCTTTCCACAATTATCAAAGCAACCAGAAGTTTTTGAGGGCGAAAAGAAAGCGCTATCAAAATATTCATCAGTCAAATCTTTTAATTCCTCTTCTTCTTCAGATTCTTTGTCTTCTTCTAATGAAGATATTTTATTATTATTAGAAGAACGTTGTCGTTGTTCCATTTGAGTTTTTAATAAATTTTTTGGTGAATTTTGTGAAATTTTTGTTTTACTAAAAAGAGAGGGCTTTTTTAATAATTTTTAAGTATTTATTAAAAAAACTTTTTTGACTAAATAATCTCCAAAATAATTATAAATATGTGTTAATTTATAAAAAATTAAATTGAATTAACTAATTTGTAAAAAAAGTCAATACGGAAAAACAACATCCACCAATAGGGCTCGAACCCAACTGCAGTAAACAAGTGTAGTCAACAACACTAACCCCCACACCACCAAGACCACGGGGTAGAACTAACTAAAAGCCTATTTAATGTCACATTATTCCCATTTAAAATCACCCAAAGCTTTTTTTAAAGAAGATCCTCTAACCTTAAAGAAGAGCTTCTACGTTCTGTAATTTTTGTTTTATTATTTATTGTTCTTTTAAATAAATCCTCCTCATCTTCTTCTCCATTATTCTTTTCAAATTCCCAATCTTCCTCCAATTCTTCATCTTCATCCAAATTATCCCCTTCCCCCTCCTCCTCTTCTTCCTCTGCCGAATTATCTTCAACTTTATTTTTTAATTTTTCCCTTTCTTCTTCCATTATTCTTCTCAATGCCGGACTTCCCAGCAATTGTTCAACAGGCAAATTATCATAACGATCACGTCCACTTACATGAATTACATGGACTCTATTTTGGCTGTCATAAATACTTTTAACGGTGCTGGGATTTAAAAAAGATTTTGCAGGTAATTTAGGTGTTGTTGTTGTTAGTGGAATTGTGTTTGGAATTGTAGTTGATTTTTGTGTTGTTGCTGTTGTTTCTTTTGTATTTATTGGAATTGTGCTTATTAATGTAGTCAATTTTTGAGTAGATTTAGTAAAAGAATCATCAACAAATTGTTCTGAAAGGTGGACAGTTTTGGCTCCCATTGCTTTTTTAATATCGGAAGTTTCGTAAAGGACCTTGAAAAAAATTTTTAAAAATTAATTAAAGATTAATATTTTACATTAGAATTGTGCATAACCGGTTATTGACCTGTATACCCCCGGTTTTCGGTTTTGAGTTTTAAACAAATACCGGTTTTAATTTTGGGGAAATTTTTAATAAAATCACTCAATTTCAAAAGTTTTGGGTTTTTAAACCGATCAAACAACCCTACTTTAAATCTAAAAAAATATTTAAATTATATTAACATTTTCTAATTTTAATATTTTCCCTCCTCCCTCCTCCTCTTGACCATTATTTAATATTTTAATATTTCCATTTAACAATTCTTCATCCTCTCTAATTACAGCACTACTCAAAGTTGTTGTTATATTTATTTTCTCCCAATTTTTATTTTTTAAAAATTTTTCTTCTTCTTTTTCCTCTTCCCCTTCTTCATTATTCAAATCAACAAAATCTACACTTTCAACAGCCTTCTTAAATTTTTCCTAAAAATTATTTTTAATTATTTTCTCACCAAACCCCCTCCCCTCCCCTCACCTCATTCCCTCCAATAAACGTTAAATAAAGCAATTTTGAATTTTCTGGAGTATTACAATTTGATCGGCCAAAACACCAACAACGAATATGCCCTTTAAATAAAAATTTTAAAAGAAAATTTTTAAAGAAAACCGGAACGTTTTCTAGCACATCCAGACCCTTTTTGTTCCCCAAATTCCCCTTTAAGTACACAAACAAACTGGTTACGGTCATAAAGACGAGAATATTCATAAAAGGAGACGGCATCTTTCTTTACAGATTTTTAAAAAATAAGTGAAATTAAAAAAATTTAATTTTAATTTTACCTCAATTCGAATTCTACAAGCAACTGTATGTAAAGGACAAACTTCACTAATTAATCCAAAACCTTTTTAGAAAAAAAAATTTTTAATTTAAATTCTCTCCCCTCCCCCTCCCTCTATTTATTTATTCTCAATTCTTGTCATAAAATTTTTTTTCTCTGACCAATTTTATGGCCACACAAAAAAAAGAAACAAAAGACGAGAAGGCTTTTTAAAAATTTAATTATTTCCTCCATTTTTTTAAAAAAGACTTCCTTTCCTCCCTTTTATTGTTAAAATATTTAAAAAGAATCTCTCCAAATAAATATTTATTTATTCTTTTTTTATATTAACCAGATGAGACCAATAGAATATTTAATTTTTTTCTGTTATCCCTTTCCATGAATTAAGCAAGTAAATTATTAAATGAATTTATCTGAGGATTTTGCTTTAATCTTTACAAAATTTTGGAGAGGAAAATGAGGGAAGAGATGAAGATTTCGTGACTAAATTTAATTGAGCCTTCCAAATATTTTATAAAAGATCAAAGAAAAAAAGAATAAAAGGAAGTGGTCAAAAGAATTTATTTAGAATTTCCCCGTCCATTCAAAAAATTTCCAAAAAAAATTTTTTTTAATTTATATCCAAAAACCTTTTTTATATTTTTAAAAAGTTTAAAACACACAAAAAAGTACAAAAACTTTTTTTTCTAATCTAAAGTAAATAATCTTTCATTTTTAGCATATAAATGTGTCAAAAATAAAAACAAAATCCTTTGGGGGTTTCTTTTAAAGTTTTTTTTCAAAAAAGGGGTTAGTAGGTAGTTGTTGGCACGGAATTATTGGAAGGAAGGAAGACTTTTATAGCATTAAAGAGATATATCCTCTTCCCTATTTTTACTTTTTTAATATTAAAATGATTGGTTAAGTGTGGTGATATTAATATTAAAGACAAAAACAAATGCCAAAATCAAAGCTTTGATAGCCAATTAACTCTTTTACTTCAAAGCCTTGCTCCTTTCTAATTAATTAAATTATTGAAAAAAATTTTTCAGATAAAGCCATTTCTGATTTTAAAGGTCAAAAAGCTTTTTATATTGTTAAAGTTTTTAGTTATTATTTTTAGTTTAGTTTTTTTTCATTTTACCTTTAAAAACAATTAAAAATTGTTTTTAAAAATTACAAAAAAAGCACCTGGTCTAGCAACCAAACAATGCATATCAGCATTTATTTTAAACAAAAAATTTGATAAAAATATTAATAAAATAATTAAATACATTTTTAAAAATAAATAAATTTCAAATAAATTCTGAAAAATCTGGAAAAGATTTTTAAAAGCAAAGAGGAATTTAGAAAGAAAATTGAATTTCCCTAAAGAAGTTATTAAATTCAAGAAAAATTGTTTAGAAGTGTTTGATAATGAAGAGAAAAAAGGCTAAAAGTTCACAAAAAAGTTTTTTTGAAGAAAAATTAATTAGGTGTAGAGAATAAAGCGATCGAAGGAAAAGAATGGAAGAACGGATTTATAAATGATTGAGAGAGAGAGCTTTTTGAGAAGAGTTTCTAATTTTTGTTTTTTTAATTATTTAGTAGGAAAAATAAATATTATTTTTTTATTTTTTATTAAATTAAATAAATATTTCTAAAGCTAATAGTAAAAAGTAACAAGCACATATTTACACGTTTTTTCCCCAAGAGAATTTTTATTTTAACTAAAAAAACTTGTCAATTTTTATTTTTGATAACATATTTTATTCTAAAAAAGAAAAACAAAAATAAATAAAAGTAAAAGTAAATAAGGAAATAAAAAACCAAACAAGGAAATTTTTAATATATTTTTTTTAATAAGTTAAAAAAATATTTCATAACAGAAAGACTTTTATAAATTTATTAAAAAATTTTCAATTTTTTAAAAAACTTTTTCACGTTAAAATAGGAAATCAAAACATTTGTTTTTTCAAAAATTCCCAAAACAAATTAGTACAAGAAGCCCCGGGAAAAAAGAATAATTTTTAGAAGAGAAAGATTATTTTGCAGTTATTTTAACCATCATAAAAGCATCAGAAAATAAAAAGGGGGAATTTTTGCCTTCTCGGCTTTTCTTTAAGGACAAACAAGGATTTTCTTGTCCAAAAGAAGAGAAGAAAATGATGCAAAAATGAGACAAATAAAAGGAAATGAAGCAAAGGGGAAATTTAAAGGAGAAAGGATGGGGGGGGGGGGGGGGGGGGAAGGGGGGGGGGGATAAAAAAAATTTTGGCAAAAAAATATTGGAGAAAAAATGACCACCACATTTTTTGTGTTGACAACAACAACTCCTCTTAAAATAAAAAAGGAGCAAAAATCTTTGCAAATTGTTGGGAAGTTAAATTTTAAAAAATTTTTTATTTGTAAGGTATACCTTCCCTAAATAATTATTAAAAAAATAATTTTCATAAAGAAAAAATTAAATAAACCACACACGAATCTAGTAAAAGAAGATAAAGAAATAATTTAGGGATATTATTCTATTAAACTAATGAGGCGAAAATGAGAGAGAAAAATGAAGAAAAATATGAAAAAAAAACAGAAAAAATAACAAAAAAAACTAGAAAATCTTTTAAACCAAAATATTCATCTTTAAATAAAAATATTCCAAAAATTTTTTTGTTTTTTTTTGGCATCAAACCAAAATAGAAAAAATAAAAGATAAATGAATGGGAGTGGTCAGTAAATCTATAAAAAACTGCAAAACCCTCTCTCCCCCAAATTTCTACATTTTAATGAAGCAACATTTTTCACCCAAAAATTGGTTTAAAAAAGATTTTTTCTCCCTCAGTTGTGTTTATTTTATTTATTTTTTGGCCAATGACCAATGGTCACTTTCAAAATTTAATAGAAAAAAGAGAAAAGGAATATTTTTAAAGAGTGGTGAAAAGATACTAGGGGCGCGCAAATTAATTTAATTCCCAAAAGAAATAAAAAAGCTGGCCAATAAATGACTAAACCAAAAAAGAGAATAATTATTTTCAAAAAATTCAAAACCTAATCTAAAACTAAAAATTCAAAAAATAAATTCAGACTTTATTTAAATAAAAAAATTTTAAGATAATAAGTTGTTAAATTAATCCTCTCAATTTTATTTAAACACTCCCCCCCCCCCTTTCCCCCAATTTCCCAAAAATTATTTTTGAAAAAAAAAAATTTTATAAAATTAACACGTTTATATATTTAATTTTTAAGAATAATAATAATATTTTTCTAAAAGTAAATCACATTTCTATTATATAATAATAAAATATATATAAGCCAAACAAAAATTGCACAATGAATAAATGAAATAAAAGAAAAGATATATGCTAATAATTTTAAAAGAAGAAAAAATTATTTAGAATGATAAAAGAATAATTATATATAAACAACAAAAAAATATTTCTTAAAGTAAAACTCGTAAGTATAAAAACATATTTTTAAAAAAAACTCGTATTTAGAGTGTGGTAAGGAAAACCCCTAACATTAATGAAAAATGAATAAAAATAAAAATAATTTTTTGAAAAGAAATTTTTTAAGTCATATGAATATTTTGATTATTTCAAGAATTATAGAATATATAAATATAAAGATTTTAAGAGTAAAAATAAAATTCTTAAGTTTTTAATTGTATAAAATATTTATTTTAAGAAAAAATTCCAAAAAACGAAAAGTAATTAGCCCATAAAAAATAACCAAAACTCCAACAATTTTATATGTACGTCTCAAAAAAACTTCCTTTTTAAAGGGCAATTTTTAGCATTCCTTCGATGAGCAATTTGATAAATCTGAAGTTGTACGTTCTGCAATTCCAAAACTTTGAAAAGCTCTGTGGACATCTGCTGAAACCTTTTAATTTGAATTAATTCTAAAGAAATCTTTTTAATTTAAAATACTTCTGGCGGAGTTCGACTTCCATCCACTTCTTCTACAAGATTTAATGCTCGAAAGTGGTTGATAATTGGTAATGTTTGTTCATTATAGACTACAATACGTTTGCGCATTGATTCCTTTTAAAAATTAAAATTTTTTTATAAAATAACAAATGTGCGGAAAGCGGGTACACCCCCCCACGTACCGCTGATGTGAGCTATAACATCGTTAAAATAAAATAAAAATTTTTGCAATTAAGAATTATTTCACCCCGAAAGAAATTTAACTCATCTTCCTTTCCCTTCAAAAATTAAAAATTTTCACAGAACCAAAATGAGATTTATGTATTTGCTCGCTTACAAGCACTAAAAATCGCTGCCAACAACAATTTTGCATTGAAAAATACTATTCCCCATCCCAATAGAAATCAAACCAATCACTTTTTTCTTTCAAAAACCAAAATTATCCCACTTAACCAAAATGGCATTTTTGCTCCATTAAATCTCTATAGTCACTGACACCCAACAAAAGTAAAAATAAACCTCATTATCATCAGAACGATTCTGACCTCTATTCATACAACGCTCAACACAAACTTCAATAGGTGCTTGTAATACCAAAACAAAAAGGACAGCAGCTTTATCGGCCATTTGTTTATCCCAGCCATCCAAATTGTCTTGATTCCGTGGAAATCCATCAATTAAAAAACCGTTTGCTGAAACAGAACGTGCCAACATTGCCTTTAAAAACAAAAATTTTTTTTAAATTTAAAAACCAAAGAAAAAACATTTTCAATTAATTTGCAAGTTATTTCAACAGGAACAATTTTCCCTTCACGAATATGTTGCTCAATTAATTCTCCATATTCAGAACCCTTTCTTTGACGTTCTTCACGTAATAAATCACCGGCACTCAAATGGACATAGCCGTAAGTCTAAAGAATATTTTTTGAAGAAAAAAAATTTTAAAGAAAAAACTACCTCTTCAATTCGTTGACATTGTGTTCCTTTTCCACTTCCAGGAGGTCCAAGAACAAAGACTACATTGTATTTTTCACTTGGAGCTGCCTTTTCTGATATTTTTTGAATATTGTCATGTAAATCAGCAACCATATCTAAAAGAAATATTTTTTATAAAAAAATTTCTAAATAGTTTGGATATAGAAAATTTATTAAAAATGAGCGAAACGGAAATTTCTCACCCTTGTTCTTTTCTTATTCGACACATTTTCATCTGAAAATGTGTTGAGAAAAACAAAGGAAAGATGAGATAAAAAAGGATCACATGGAGTAAAGCGCTATCCAAGCATCAATCCTAAATATGTCTTTAGGTTGACAAAAGAAATTGTCCTGTTAGAAAAAAATTTTTTGTTAAGGATAAAAAATTGTGAGAAAACGAAAATGAAGAGTATTTTACTATTCGGATTAAAAATTCTAAGGAGCTTACAACCCCATCTATAAAGAGAATTAAAAATTTTTAAAACTCACTTTTATGTCGTTTTGATAATAATAATAGTTGGCGTTCAACAAAAATATTTCTCAAATGTTGTTTGTATATAATACTCCTAAACGCACCGCAAGTAACTCGCCTAAATGACAACGCAGCAAGAATGACGAGACAGATTAAATAAAAAAGAGAACCCTTTAATAAAATATTTAGTGTTGGAAAATAAGAAAATAAATATAATAACTGGATTTTTCAACAAATTAAAAGAAAATTTTTTTTAAATAATTTATTTATTTAATTTGATAAATATTTGAAGCTTTTTAAAAAGTCGTTAAAAATACTGAAAAAAATTAAATTGTAAAAGTTAGGAAACAAGTTCTAAACCGAGCTTTTTCCATTAAAGGCCAAAAATACTTTCCGTCAAATAAATTACCGTCTCTAAACATTCGGTATATAATGGAAAAAATCAGCCTTGAATATTTTTATGGGTGAAAAAGGCGACAAGAAACTTTTGACCTAAAATGTAATCCCCTCCCCCCTTCCCTGTTTAGGTAAACTAAATTCTGAGTCCACCCCAGAGTATCGACACCCAAAGTATCGACACCCAAAGTATCGAATGACCCAAAGTATCGACACCCAAAGTATCGAATGACCCAAAGTATCGAATTTTTTAAACTTCATAATTAAGTATTCCAAGTACGGGGAAGTCTTTTTAACATAGGGAAATTGTTCCAACAATGGATCAAACATCGATCATGATCAATATGTCCAATCAAAGAAGAGTGATCGATCTCCAAGTAGAATCTTGTTCGGTCGCTATGCTCAGTTCGATCGAAAACACAATTCCCCGATGTTAGAACATCATGCCCGATCATTGGAATACTTAATTATGAAATTTAAAAAATTCGATACTTTGGGTCATTCGATACTTTGGGTGTCGATACTCTGGGGTGATCCCCTAAATTCTAAAATGTTCCGCAAATGTAGGCTGAAAGTGTCTCACCCCCAAATTAAAAAAACTTTTTAATATTCATCCATCATTTCATCATTCTTTTTTACAGGTTGAACTTTTCCACTCCCTCTAAGAAATTGTTGCTTTGTATGATTAAAACGATTTTTCTCTTCCAACTTTTCTGCCTGTAATCGAAGAATTTCTTCTATACTTACCTCAAAAAAAGAACTTTTCTAACAAAATTTAAAATTTCCAAAAACCTTAATTAACGGGTTTTTTTGTGTTTCATCAATTTCTCCTGCCAATACAACATTTTCACCTCTTATCAAAAAAATTCCACGAGAAATGTCACCATAATATTTGTCAACATGAATTCTCTCTAAAGTCTCATGAAGAACCAAATTTGCAAACTTAAAAAATCTAAAATTTAGAGGGAACGCGCCGTAAAACAAAAGGCAAAATACCAATCCTCCCAGTTGCCAAAATACTAAACTATTGATTTTGGTCCCATTACATGGATTCCCAAGGAGATTGATACAGTAGATACGGTAGGAACTTAAATCACGTGAAAGGTTGTTTCAACATGTGTAGAAATTTTTTTAAATAAAAATTTAAACAATTACATTTTAAACAAATGTAAAAAATATACATTAACGTTCAATCAAGATTTTGGTATTTCGGCGTGACTTCAGGAGATTCGGCATTACACAATTTGAACAATTAACAAAAAGCAAATACCTGATCAAGAGTTCTCAGATAACCAATTAAAGTTTTTCCATCCCTTAAGACAACCACAAGTTTTTTATCCAATTGATCAAGTAAAGACACTGCTCCAGGTAAATACGGGTCTGGCAGTTCCATTCTTCTAAAATTTGTTTTAAAAAATAAATGAAAAATAAATTTAAAAAAAATAAAATGAATTTAAAAACATTTGAAAAATATGTACAAAATTTACAAAATTATTTATTCTGTAAAAAAATTTTTCCAAAAGAATACAGTGAATATCCAACTTTTATAAAAAAACATTTGTCTATAAATACTCTATAGTATTTTATAATTTCAAAAAATATTTTTATAATAATAAATGGATAATGTTAACAATCTCTTAAATTTACAAAAAAACTTAAAAATATTTTAAGTATTGGCTACAAAAATTAAACAATCAAAAATCCTAAAAAAAATGCCTTAAAATGAAAGAGATTGCAACATTATACACTTAAAAATGGTAAATAAAATAAGAGAATTGATTAATGGAGAATATATTTTCTTAAAAAAAACATTAACTTGAATAATATAAGTCAATAAAATCTGAAAGGAATTTAGTTAATTATTGTTAATCCAGATTTCATTCTAGAACAAAGTTAATCTGGTAAGGGAATGCTTTACATAAAAATTTAGTAGAAAAAGTGAGGCAAGCATACAAGGAAGTTAAACGAAAAAATTATTTTCTTTATGTAAAAAGAAATTGTATTAAAGACAAAAAACCACACTTTTTGAAAATTGAATGGGATAGGATGAGTGAAATTCCAAAAAAAAATACCGAATAAAAACCATTCAAAAATTCTTTCCTGATATATAAAATATTATTTCAACGCAAATCATCATCTTCCTCAGCATCTCCAGCCCCACCTGCTTTAACTTCACCACCATCCCCACAAGAACGTTTAATCTAAAATTTTTTAAAATAATTCTTATTGTTAGATTTCTTTTTCAGATTTAATTTAGGGACAATTCAAAACATAAAATCAGAAACCGTTTTGTTCCTCTTAAAAAGAGAAACAAAACGTCCCAGGTTTAGAAAAAAAAATAAAATTTTTATATCCAAGCAAAAAATAACCTTTAAAAGAATGCTAGTATGCCAATTATCAAAGCGTGACTTTTTATCTTGTTCTTCAACGGCTGCCGTAAAACCATCAGGATCGCCCGCCTTAAAACAAATATTAAAAAATAACTTTCAGAATTATTTACAAAAACCTTAACAGCATCCAATAATTTTGTAAAAAGTTTACATTCATCAGAATCTTTGAAAATTGGGGAAATCTCTTAAAAAGCAGCAAAATTATAAATTGAAAAATTCTAAATAAACCTTTATAACGCTTTAAAGCTCTCTCCGCTTCAAGAGGATCATAACAAAGCGCACAAAGTAAAGCCTGAAAAAGAAATTAAATTACTACAAAACCAAAATATAATTTTTCAAGTCAAAATAAACAGCCGAGAAGAAAAAAGTAAATTATTTAAATTTAAAAAAAAACCTGGAAAAAATGTCCCCTAGAAGCATATTTCAACATAGAATTTTCAGATTCATAAATTGAAATTTCCTCAAAAATATGCATTGCCCGTTGATATTGTTCCAATTCTGCAGCAAGTAAACCAACTTTAACTAAACATTTAGAAGCTGAACTTTTTTGTTCTTCTCCCTTGTAAAAATCAGCAGCTTTTAAATAAGAATTGAGACACAAGTCTTTGCACTATAAAATTATAACAAATTTTTTAAATAAAAAATTTGAATTAGAGAGAAAATGGCCAAAAAGGGATTTTTTCCAATTAGAAAATTTAATGAATAAAATCAGACCTAGGTAAACATTTATTAAAATTTTCTTCCATAAAAATAACTAAAAATAGCATTCTAGAAAAGAGCAAACAAAATTGCACCACCCCCATTTTTTAGTTATTTATGGTCGCAAAACAAAAAGCGAACAACGTTTAGTTTTTTATATTTTTGGACTAGAAATTAATCTAAAAAATTTAAAACCTTTTCTTTCGGCAAAACATTTGCAATATTTCTTTCTTCAGGTATATTACCACTCAAAGTAGATTCACAAACTTCAGCCAATGCCACATAAGCTTTAGCAGCCATTGTAAACTTCCCCATATCAACATATATATCAGCAGCTCTTTGATAACATCCTGTTGCTTTCATAAAGTCAACTTTGCGGAAACAAACGCCAGCTTCAGTGAAATTTTGTCCAGCATCAAATTTAGAATCACTGTGTTTTTCATGCAATTCAGCAACACGAATGAATGTTTCCCCAGCAGAATACCAACTCTTTGCGGCCTAAAGAAATTGTAAAAATAATGTTGATCGTTTTTAATTAAAAGGAATTGAGGAAATTTTTTAGCACTTTACCACCCTAAATAGTTTACAAACACCATAAATAATAATTTTAAACACAAAAAGTTAGAAACCACCAAGACCCTATTAAGAAAAATAATCAAAAATTAAAAAAAACCTTATACGAATTTGCAGCACTAATATAACATTCAATTGCGTCAGAAACACCAGATCCTCCACCTCCAAAAATGCTTGAAATAAATCCAGTATTCTTTTTTAATTTCCTGTCGCCTTCTTCAATTTTTTGAAGCGCCTTTTTTTCGTTTGGATCAGTCATATTTTTATACAGATTTTTTAAGAATATATAATTTTTTTTCAAAATAAGTTTTGTATTGCTAAAAATAAATTAGAAAATAAATGAAAGTTTTTGTTTTATTATAGGGACAAAAGTCTTCGTCATCGCTGACAATTGATTGTCTTATCTATTAATTCCCCATTTTTAAATCTTTTCTATCCCTAGGGAAAGGAAATACTCAAATGATTGAAATAATAAAAACCATCTTAAAATTAATATTAGAAAATAGATTTTAAAAAGTTACTAATATGTACTAATTATGCAAAAAAATGACAAAAAATATGTAAGCAAAATGTGTCCACATTAATTAGAAAATTAAATGGGGAATTATTTGGAGACATTTTACACAGCCATATTTTTCCAATATTCTTTCTGTTACCGCGTCCTATTTGTTTTCTCATTCCTTTTACTTTCTGGTGAGTCAGATGCGAAAAATTTTGGGGAAACCCGCAATCTTATAATTGTCAAAAATGCCTTTTATTAAAGACTTGCTTGCTCCTATCCTATAAATATTATACAAAAATGCTGTGTAAAAGCTTTTAAAAAACAAATTAAAAATGCATAAACAATCAAAAATTGAATGGTTTTTAAACCATCTTTATTCTTCACTTCCATCAAAATAAGGTAAAATTTATTCATTTTTTAAACAACAATTTCTACAATATTAAATTACCCACAAGATATACCTATAATTAACAATCTTTGAGATCTAGGTTTCTTTCCAAAAAAAAATCAAAAATCAGAAATAAATTTGTTGAGATAAGCCTCTGTCGCTGTTTGTGTTTGTTTAGTTTTTACAATTTTCTTAGTCTTTCGATCAACTACTGGAATTTCTTCAATTACAGCCCCCATTGGCAATGCTGAACAAAAACCATATTCTTCTGGTTTGAAAACCATATCCGCCATTCCATGAACAAACTGATCAATCTGTGCTTGCGCATCCCTGACGTTTTTCCCATTTACACGATACGACTAAAATTTAAGTTCAAAAATTTGAGAAATCATATATATTTGGCCGTAGGGGATAAACTAAACGTGATAGACAACATAAATACGCGCTCCTTGACCTCCCTGTCAAATACTCTCACCAATATAAAGAACCATTTTTTAAAGACATTCAAATCCTACCGGACTTTCCTTTTGAACTGGCAAATCAACTTTAATATCCGATGTAATAAGTGGCGTAATAGTTCTGTCACTAGAAGCAATCAATACGCGCTTCTCAGGCAATTTGAACGCCGAGAAAAAGCGCGGATACTCCAACTGTTCAACCTGATAATGAATTTTTTTAAGTTCCAAATATTTAAATATTCAAACCTTCATTTTGACAAAATCCACGAGACTAGCGGCAAGTTCCTCAGGCGAAAGCTTTTGATCTTTTTTAATCGACTTGTTTCCTTTTTTCTCATTAGAATCAGTCATTGCAAAAAAGTAAAATATTCCAATAAAAAGATTTATCTAAAAAAGGTTATAAACAAAAGTTAAAAAAAGGAGAGTAACGCGAAAAATAAATTGATCTATTTAAAGTCAACAAAATGGGACAAGGTAAACGATAAAAAGTTGTTGAACAATCACCCTTTCTATTTGTAAAACAAAAATATATGCAACTTATATGTTTTATTCAAACCGATCACGAAAAATTGAGAAATTGAAAAGTCTGATATCCTGAGATAATTTCTTTATACTGTTCAAAATGTGTCAGAACGCTCAAAACATAGACAAAAAATATTAGAAGTAAAAATCATGAAAATTTTAAATTGTAGCGAGTTTGAATGCGTGGTCGGATATGGACGAAGCAGGTGTGCTCAACGTGCTTTTCGAATGACATTTACGAATTTTTTATCCCAAAATTAGCTTCTTTTTCAATTTTAGGGGCCTGAATCTCGGTCCCTGGCTGACGGGTCGATACCATTTACCCGGCCACCTAATCTGTCCACATCCGCTCATGCATTAAAAATCCGCCTATAAGTGAATAGTACCAAAATCATAAAAATAGGAATCTTATCACATTTTGAACAGTTTTCTTTCATATAGGTCACAACTTAAAAATAGAATTTAAATAACAATTTATATTAACCTTTAAAATTATTTTAAACTTAAAAATCATTAAAGCGAATAAATTGCCCATTCTACAACATATCAATGGTCGGCGGCATATGTTCCTCATTCAATTTATTAACCTCACTCAACAATGCAGATAAATCGTGATAAACGCGCGTACAGTCATCCTGATCCTGAAGCCAAAGTCCGAACACCATATCTGAAATTATAAATATTTTTAAATTATTAGAATTATTTGATTTTTATTGGACTCTTCGGCACGGAAATTAAAAACAAGAAAAATTTTTTAAAATGAAACTTAATAAAAACCAAAAACTCTTACTATCTTGCCTGCCGCTAATAAAAATATATGGAGACTTATTAGTAAGTTTAATGCCAGGAACAAGCGGTTGCAGAAAATCTTCCTTTCCTCGTTGTTTACGATCAATCACCAACAAAGAATAAAATGGCTCGTCAATTCGCGAGAAAACGACAAATGGTCCTTCCGTTTCTGTTCGTTTCCATTTCTTTTCGAGAGAATCTTAAAAAATATTTTTCAGTTATTTGAAACAAAATTTAAAAAATCAAAACCGTATTCATACAAAGCGGCACGAGGTAAATAATTCAAAAGACGGCAAGCAAATGGATCTAAAATTTTAAATAAGCTCTCAGATAAATAAAAAATTAAAACCTATACGCTTAATAAATTCTAACAAAATCATCTTCAAAATTCCAATATCTCCCCCTCGTCCATTTTCTTGAATGATCTCAGGCAAAACAGAAGCAGCTGCCGCAGCAATATCAGATGTTTTAGGCAAATCAACCTCTCTTACAAAATTATTAATTGATTGAACCCTTGACATAATTTTTGGAGTGGGAGGTGGTTGCTGATGTTGTTTCGGCAGTTCAACACTAGCCGGAGGCTTCGTATTGATATTCTTCACATTTTTCTTCATCAATTTTGATGGATCCAAAGTTCTTAACGGTCTAAAATTTAAGCGGCTATCATTGCTGGTCGGTGATATTTTGATGTTAGCATTAGCCTCAGTCTTCTTAACTTCCGATTTAATTCCAGTTTTAACCTCCGGCGGCTTCTTTGGTGTTGTCTTTTCAATAATCTTTTCTGGCGTCTTCACAGCAACCTTGATGACTTCATCTGGCTTCTTGAAATTGGAAGTTTCATTTGTTTTTACTGGCGATTTTGCAGATTCCGCCTTCATGTTTGAATCAAAACATGCCTCTTCCCTAACAACAATATCTCGCAATTTTTGAATAGACGCAAAAATTCGTTTGCATTCATCTTCCCCATAAATCCAAATACCACCGATGGAACCTAATTATTAAGAATTATTTTTTTATTTAAAGTAAATACCGTCTTTGCGATGAATAAGAATATAAGGCGGATCATAACGCAAACTAGAGGTTTCTTCAATTGGTTGAACAAAGTCCTCCAACGACTGGCGGTTGGCGATCATAATTGCGTAGTGCGGATAATCCAAACGTTTGTAAACAAACAACGGCCCCACTTGATCTTTGGTCTTCCAATTGTTCTCCGTTATGTCTGAAATCCATTAAGAAGCATTTATTAAAATTTTTACAAAAATCCATCACCGAATTCATAATAAGCGGCTTGGGTACATTGCAAAATAATTTCGCAGGCATTGGTATCTTAAAAATTAAGTTTATTAAAATAAAGGAAAAAATTACCGATTCGCTGGATATTCTGCAAATTTTTATTTTCGTTATTATTTGACATCCTCCTTTGCCGATTAAAAATCTTTTTGTATAAAATAATAAAAACTAAAAATTCGAACAAATTAAAAATAATTAAAAGAGATTAATAAATGATTGAATTTTAGAGGTGTTTTGACATTTATTTCACTATTGGATATTTCTGTTTTTCACATTTTGACATTTCTTATCTAAAAAACTTTATAATATCAACAAATAAAATGTCATTTTGTGCTAAATATCTCGTTTCATCGAACGAAATTGACGTTATTGTTTATGAACTTTTCTATTAAAATTTATTGAAATTCACATTTGCCTTTTTTTAGATTTTACATAATTTTTATCTGTAATCTTTACATTTACCGATAAAATATTTAAATAACAACAATCCTCAATATTTATAATGTCTTCGGAGCCTGAAACGACTCAACCCGCTGCTGATACAATCGAAAATAATGGAAAATCTAATTTGTATGATTCAAAAGAAGTAAATAAACAAAACGATAGTGAAGTCAACGACCAATACAGCGTGGATCATGAGAAAGATGAATCTACTAATGATCCTGGTATATTTCATCGTCTAACCTCCAGATTTTTTCGTTTTAAATCAGTTAAAGTGCAACCTCCACCTCCAGTTTTGCCGACAACAAATGCTTCTTCAGGAATGGTTTCTTCTGTTAATAAGATTGCTGCAACGACGCTTCCTGAAAGCTCTTCCGCTAAAAAACGTCGCATTTCAGACGATGAACTTGATAAATCTCTTGGACCTTCAACTTCAAAAAAAGGAGGTGGATTGTCTTCATTAGTTGGTTCTTTGGCGAAAAAAGATAAAAAACAATCTATGTTGGCAAAATCTGCACAGGATTGGAGGCAATTTGTACAAGAAGAAAAATTGGAGGAAGAGTTAGATACACATTTGAAGAGTCGAGATTCTTTTCTTGACAAACAGGTAAGCAATTCTTAATTAGTCATAAACGTACCAGTGAGAAGGGAAAGTTAGGGGTTATATACGAGCCATTTAATCTCTAGGGATAGCCAATAAAAAGTCCAAAATTTTGGAATTTTTGACATAGTTTCGCCCAAATAGTTGTCATTTATCCCATCAAATCATTTTATGATTTTTAAATATACATTTATAGGAATTTCTACTTCGTGCTGATTATAAACAATTTGAACATGAGCGGGATCTGCGTGCGCAAGAACGGAAAATTAAACAACCTCAAGGGGATACCCCGCATTGAACTGTTTTTTATTTGATGGTATTTGTTGATTGTTTGGGGGTTTTATCAAAGCTTTATTTCAATTGAACACGTTATTCCGTAGAAAAATTTGTTTCAAAATTAATTATATTTTCAGTACTTTTGTTATCCACCCCTGCTTTCCTTTATTCCCAATTTGATAGGCTATAACTTTTTTATGCTGGATCCAATCCGAATGAGGAAAAAAGGAATATGAGGGCAGATAACACAAGAGTACCACATTTTCTCTTTATTTAAATATGTTGTTTTCAATCTATATATACATTTTATTTTTAATAATCTATATTTTTTTGAATTATTTTAGAAAGTCAATATTACTAAAAAATGTCAGGCGGTGGCACTCAAGGACCTAATGAGCCACGTTTTCATGTGCTTGCTCAATTGGTGGGTTTTTTATTTCAAATAAAACTTTAAAAAAATTAAATACAATCCATTATCTCTTTTATTTTTCGCTTATTTTTACTTAAATCCTCCCCCACCCATTTTTCATTTAAGAAAGCCAAAAGTCCTTTAGCAAAAAAGTAATTTTTTTAAATCACCTCAGGAAAAATGTTTAGAATTATTTTTTATTAATTTAGGAGCATTTGCAATCAAAATATACTGGTACTGGGCATGCGGATATGACAAGATGGGAATGGTATAACTTATTTTATTACCTTTAATAAAACTTTAATTTTTATTTTTCAAGGGTCACGAATATGCATAGAGACACAAATGCTTCCATTGTTGGTCATCATGACCACACCTCATTTGTGGCAATTTGTGAAAATGAAACGCGTGCACGCTGTAGATATAATTTGCTTTGTCGAATGGTACAACCATGTGGACCTCCTACTGAAAAATCGCCTCTTGATGATCTTTAAACGGAACGATTTGAGAGGACTAAATTTTCTCCGGAATTGAACTATTTGATGTTTTCCTCTGTTACACGTTACTTTTTTTGGATCTATTTTTCCACTTTTTATTGCATGAGTAAAAATGAGTTTTGTTGATTTTGAACGTGAATTACGTTTAAAATATGTATAACTTTAATTAGGTGATATCAAACTCAACTAAATTCTAGAGTGATTTCTATTCGATATTTACATTTCTGCAACATTCAATCCTTTAAAATTAAATTTAATCTCTCGGTTCTTTCAGTAAATAAGCTCATTTGTCAAATTAAATTTATCAGAACAGCAATAACAAAAACCTCAACATATTTTTAATAACAGAAAAAACCACATCAACATTATTTTCCGACTTCAAAATTATTCTTCATTCCCAAAGCGGAGTTGTGTTGCAATGCGGTCCAAGTCCTTCTGACCCTAAGAAAAAAGAATTTTAAAAATAAAAATAATCAAAACCTGTTTGCTCAATTTTCGTCCACCACGTGCATCTTTCTCCACCCACTTAATTGCTTCTAACGATTGAAGAGATTTGCGTATAACAGCGCCAGATGCCAAAACAAAATGGTTTGGCCGAACGCCACGGCGCTTATTGCCTCCATAAACTTTACGGAACGCTCCGACACCTTAAAAATTTTTATTTCTAAACAAAAAAAAATTTAAAAAAATACCGGCCGGCGAACGAATGTAAAGACGGCGAGCAATGCTGGCAACGCGGACATAGTACCAATCAGGATTGATTGGTGCCAATTCCTTGTTCGTGCCAAGTTTGACCAAATCAGCCCATTCCGGAACTTTGATTTTCCCTCCTTTCTTCAGAAATGTCGAAATTGCATCAACAATTTCGTGTTGATCAACATCCTTTACGCTTGTTGGTTTGCCCATTTTTAATTGGTTGTAAAAATAATCTCACTAAAATAAGTAAAACATTAATATAATTTCTAAAACATGGACTAAATTCGTGAAACTAAATTCGAAGCAAACTAATAAAAATACGAAATATAAAAAATTTACAGATTTACCAAAAAATATTTTTGATGAAATGAAAATTCCTTTTGGAAGTTTTTCGTTTTGGAAAATTAATTTTTTGCACAACATTTATTTTTGAAATAATTTGCCACAGTTTTTTAATTTTTTTTTATTTTTCAACTTTTTTAGAAGACATTTACTTTCCATTACTTCTTAAATAAAATGAATTCTTATTTTGATTTGGAACCTACTACTGACTCAATAAATTATAATAGTGGAACATATGGGGGAGATCATCTGGATGATTCACAAAAGGACTTGAAACAACAGAACAACGAGGTCAACGTCAAACGCATTGGGGAAGCTGTTGATGATCAGAGTTTGTTTTTTTATAATAATTGATTTTGTTCTTTTACCAAAAAGTAAAGTTTTGTTCCTTATTCTTGGGGTTCATAGCTACTTTTGTTTGGAACCTACTTTGGGCTCCTCAGACAAGAAAGGTACCGATACGTCAGTTTATGTTCGAGGATCAAGTTGCCGTGGGTTCCAAAGCAAGATGTGTTATAAAATTCGATGTAAAGATACCCAAGGACGCCGAAAATCAAAATTCGTGTCTGTAACTATTTTATTACAGTTTTTTCTTGCTCCCTAAATATTCCTTTTCCTTTTTTAGTTCAAAAGGATCTCCAACCACCGTTTACACCCCCTTCAAATTTTTCTTTTGGAATTGTGACTTCCGCCAACAGGCGCGTCTCAACTCGTAAACGTCGTTCGGCCAAACTAGCGCTTACTCCAACCTCTTCTGTAAAACGACGTCGAGTTACAAATGAGGGACGTGGAAATACTCCTGTTTCTACTACTCCGGGCAGTGCTAAGAGAAGGCGATCACGTGCGAAGAACCAAATTAATTGGACGCCATTAATCAATTTTGATGATCGTGAAGATCCATACAATTTCTTTTTCAAATCTAATGAGCATCCTACACCATTGTCCGAAATTAGTGTATATTTTTATAATTATTTTTCTCCGTAATTTATCTCTAAACCAAATAATTTCAGGTTAAACGCGCTTCATTTGGTGAGAGTGAAAAATCGCCAAGAAATCTTTTAATGGACTATAATAAGGAACCAACTTTTCGTTTTACGGTAAAGTGCAATTTTTCTATTTAACTTTTGACCTTCAAATTTTCTAGTATGACATTAGTGACAAAAGTCTCAGTAATATGAAAACTCCGACATTAATCAAGCGTCGTGCTGAAGCTAGTTTAGTTGATACGCCCAAAGCAACACATCAAAAATCGTTACCGAGGACTAGAACTATTACACCTCGTGGTAAGCAGCCAATATATCGGGATGTTTCTACTGAAGATAAGCTTACTACAGATATGCATGTTTGGTCTGCCTATAGGAAAAAAGTTGAAGGTTTTTTTATAATTTAATTATGTATTAATTATATTTTAGATAACAATGAAGGCAAAAATCTCGCCAATAAATCTTCGCCGAGAACTACAACTACACCTCGTGGTAAGCGGTCAAAAATAAATCTGGACGGTTTTACTGAAGATAATCTTGATGTTATGTCAGCTTATGAGAAAGAAGAAGATAAACGAGTTCAAGGTTTTTACAATTTAAATACATATGTATAATATATTAATTATTTTCTTAACCCAGACGACAATAATGACAAGTATCTCACCAATAGGCCGTCACCGAGGCTTAGAAGTCGTTCACCTTTAAGTAATATTACAACTCCACAAAAGCAACAATCTCCTCATAAAATCTCTCGAAGTGCTAAAAAGAATGATACTAAAGAAGGAGAAGGCGATTATTTGGAGACAACTGGTGAAAATGTTGATGCGGCAATAAATAAAGAGAATTTGGAAGACTTAAACGATAGCCACAATATCTCAATTCTTGAGGATAATAGCACACCTCAAAGGAAGCTAACAATAAGTCCATTTGATGTTATAGAAATTCTTAGTCCTGTGCAGGAGATTACTGAGGTTTTGATCTTTTGTAAATTTGATTTTTGCTTTGTTTACTCCCATTAATTAGTATAGGTCAAAGTAATGGGAGTAAAAGTTACTATCGCTTTTGTATACATAGTTGAGTGTTTGATTATTACTGTTTCATTTTTTGGAGCCTGTCAGCCTTTTTAATAGGTTGTTCTGAGTCAAACCAGGCAAATATTACTATTAACCTTTAGAATGTCTCGGCAGAAAATTTTGCTAGCGAACGAATATTCTTTTTTAAGTTAAACATAATTAAATCTGTTTTAGCTCAACACAGCTGGTTCGTATGCTTCCAGTACTGCCAGCGTTGAGGACAAACTTTTTGCTGGCTTCAAATTTGTGTTCACTTCAGCGAATCGTCCAAATAAAGGTTTTTTAATAGAGAAATTTTTTCAATATTTTTTTCAAGTGCACGACTTTAACAAGCGCGAATATCGTACAATAATTGGAGAACGTGGGGGTATCGTGATGGAAGATTTTTTGGATCTCAAGGAGGGAGAACATGCTGTTTTGGTCGCTGATACTTTTTACCGAACACACAAATATTTGTCCGCTCTTTCGTTGTCAATTCCTTGTGTGAGTTGTCTTTGGATACAAGAATGTGTTGCTGATAAAAAATTGCTCAAGTATGAAGAATTTCTGCTGCCCGCTGGTGAATCGACTTCTGAGCCCGGACGTATCTGTCAATGGTAGGTAGTATTTCAAACAAAGAAATGTTCCCATTTTTATAGGAAGCCTTTGAAAGGTGTTCTTTTCAATGGCAAACGAATCATTGTTTACAACCGTTATTACAATGAAGATCCTAATGTTGTTTCATTTGGAGAGATTTGGATTTCAATGATGCGGAACCTTGGAGCTACGGTTGTTGGGATTGAAAATGGTGAACCTTTTTCGAAAGAGGTGAATAAAACTGTGACGCTTGAAGAAAAATTGGAATTTTGCAGGAAAAGTATATTATTTATCTCTTAAATATAAATCCTTTAACAACAATAAATTTAAGCTAATTTCGAATTCTTTCTCACCGAAAACGATTGTGAACCTGAGTTAGCCGGATGTGTAAGTGCAAAGAATGCTTTGGCTGTTTCAAGTGAATGGGTTATACAGGTTTATACTACAAATAATATTTTAAATTAAAGCTTTATAAACTTTTACTAGGCAATGATTACTGGAGAACTGCCTAGTGTAGAAGAATGTGATTGTTTCCGCTACGACCATATGCGAGAATGAAGTTAAAAAAAGAGAATGGTCAGCTTGAAGTAGAATAGAAAAAATATTTTTTAAGAAACTTCTACCAAAGAATTATTTATTGACTTATAGATTATTATATATTTATTAAATTCAAAAATTTGTTTTTTATACAATTATATATGGGTAAAATTGTTTTGACGTCTTTTTTGTTATTTAAACGAGATCGGATCAAAGATTTCTTCAAAAAAATATGTTTTTGGTCCAAAACGATCCCCTGATTTTACAAAAATAATTCAACAATTCACAAATTTTTATCTGTTATGTAAATAACAACAACAAAAAATAAAGAACCTCTTTGTCATTACCCAATTTTTATTCTTTTGTCTCACGCAAACGACGGATCGTGCTTCGAACTGTGGCAGCGGTTGTTGTGCTGAAGTAGAAAAGATGTTATAGTGACATTTAATGCTATGAGTGACTTAAAGTCGATTAATGGAGTTAGGGGAATTATAGCTAATTGTAAGGTCTACATTGGGTCGGAATTAGTGGTGAGCGCATTACGTTAAATTTTGATCTTGTGTTTCGTTTTTTAGGCTTACCTCTTGCGTTTACCCTTGGTCGGGATAAAGCTAATCTTGGCTAAAGTACACTTTACCGGGCGATTTTAGATTTTTATGATTTATATGTCAATCGAAAGAGCTCGGCGAGCTGAGTCGAATGACACCAAAATTAGCCCGCGGACTCAACTATGGACCGAGATATGGGTCCCCAAAAATCGAAAAACCATAGGGGGGACCAAGCACTTTTTTGGGGGTAAAAAGTTCGAATATGCAAATTATACCTCATTCGAAAGAGCTCGTCGAGCTGAGTCGAATGACACCAAAATCAACGAAATCTGACTTGATTTGACATAGTTATGATCTTTTATTTTAGCTCCTTACCTATGGCATCTGTGGAGATTTTTGCTGCTACGGAGGCCCCAAATACGTCCAGAGCAAGGGAGATAGGAATAGGTTTATGTTACGAGCCCAGACCCAGCGCCCGTAGACTCCCCGCGAGGCGCGTGCCGCAAAACCCCGCGCGAAGCGCGGGGTTTTGCACAAGCGCCTCGCCACGCTCCATAGGTTTAGGTTTTAGTTTTTCTATCGTAACTTTGTCCAAACTTGTCCAATCACGATGATTTTGGTGTCATTCGACTCAGCTCGAGGAGCTCTTTCGAATGAGTTACTATTTGCATATTTGAATATTTTATCCCAAAAAAGTGCTTGGTCCCCCCTATGGTTTTTCGATTTTTGGGGACCCATATCTCGGTCCATAGTTGAGTCCGCGGGCTAATTTTGGTGTCATTCGACTCAGCTCGCCGAGCTCTTTCGATTGACATATAAATCATAAAAATCTAAAATCGCCCGGTAAAGTGTACTTAGGCCCTAATCTTTACCACTAGCTAAATTGTCTTACTCTTGGGTTACTTTGAATGGGCCAAAATAAAAGTAAACGGACAAAAGCAGAAATTAAAAAAACCAATAAAAAAATCACGAACCTGTAAACATAGGCACCACCAGCAACCTTTTTATGACATTTCATACACTGCCATATACCAACACACGATCGTTTCATTGCTTCCTAAATTGTAGTTTGCTTTAAATTTATAAAAATTGTTAAAATAAACCTTTCCACAAAAAGCGCAAGTGTATTTAGCATGTTGAGAGATCTCTGCCTTCTTAGCAGTTTTTCTCAAAGATGCTCCATAACGAGTGCCATATTTACCAACAATACCAACCTTTTTTGTACGTTTTGCCTGAAAAGAAATTAAAAAATAATAAAATTGTTTAAGATTTACCATTTATAAATCGTTTCGTCTAGGCAAATAAAAAATTTTTGAACAAAAATTAATCCTAAAAATTAAAAATTTTCAGATTAAAAAAGGGAAAAATTCGTCAATAAGCAAGCAAAATTCATCGATTATGAAAATAAGTTTCAAAAATACGCTGTTTTTGCATAAAAATAAATTTGGCGATATGTTTTTACTCTTTTCTTCGGAACAGGATCATTGAGTCCCGCCGGTTGAGTCCATGAGCCATATTTTGGGTCATAACTTTTTCAATTCTTAATTAATTTAGATACTTAATATATCAATCAAAAGCTTTTGATATAAGGATTATTTTATCTAGCAGGAGTGATCTAATCAGATCAACAAACAAAAAGTTACAGCTTAATAAAGATCAAAAATCACGATTGCGCGCACTTATCCAGATGTAACTTTTTGTAGGATAGTCTGATCAAATCAATCAAGTTGGCGGAAATAATCCCCTTATCCAGGGCTTTCAGATGATAAAAGATTTATTTGAATTGGTTGAACCCCCAAAAAGTTATGGCCCAAAATATGGCCCCGGGACTCAACCGGCGGGACTCAATGATCCCCTACCCCCTTTTTCTTTTTTCAGATTAATTCAACACTATTTTCATAAATTAGAATGTCTCTCGTTTTTCTACGTGCTCTTTCCTCAAAATTTTAACAAGGTGAGTCCCATTATGTGCCGGATTATTTCCCATTATGGGCCTAACTATTTTTGCTCGCAAAACGACTTTTGTAAACTTGCTTTTTAGATAATTTATTTTATTCATGACTAATTAGTCCAATTTTTTGTCTTTTTTATATTTTTGATTTAATGATTATTTTCTTTAATTTTTCACTAATTTAATTTTTAGGTGCTATAAAAGTTTAAATAAATTTTATTTTATCAACATATTCTCATTTTTCTACTTAAGTTTATGTAATTAATGCCAAGAGAGGAAGAGGACGTTTTTGATAAAGAAATTTCGGCGGACAGCAGTGATAATTCTGACGAAGATGAATATGAAGTTGAAAAGATAGTCTCTGACGAATGGGATGCCAAAAAGCAAAAGCGATTTTATTGGGTCAAATGGGTTGGTTACCCTTCAAGTGCGAATACTCTTGAGCCGGAAGAAAATTTGGTTATTAATTTTTGAAGTTAAATTTTGATTTCAAAGTTTTTTTAAAGAAATGTCCAGAATTATTGGAAGCTTATAAGGCTAAAAAGGAGCGAAAACGAAAGTGTGTTTTTATAATTTTTTGTTTAATATTTAAATTTTTAGAGAAGTTTATGACCAAGACAGTGGAGACGAAGATTTTATTGTTCCAGATGACCAATCTCCGATAGTTGACTTAAAAAGTAATAAAGAGCATCGCCATGAGAAAACAGTGAAGATAAAAAGTGAAAAGAAGAGCACTAAATATTCTGATCAATCTACTTCTTCAAGCACTTTAAGCCGACTTTTGAAGAATATGAAAAGGTTTGGGTTTCAATAGATTTTTTCTTTTCCTTATATTTACGTCAAATTGTTAAGCTCCACTTTTATAATTATAAGACTATTTTTTCAGGGACAACAACTTTCCAAGATCGTCTTATTCTTCATCTTTCACACACGAGAAAAAGCATCGAATTGAAAAGAAATCTTCATCAACTTCGTCAAAAGATTCTTCACGTTCGTCAAGTTTACGACCAAATTCTGAAAGTTCGACGCTCAAAAACTTGAAAAATAAAAGAAAAAATCTGCCAACTGTGGATGAAGAGGAAAATGACAAAACAATTCCAAAGAAGAAGAAAGTTGAAAAGACTGAAGAAACTGTGATTGTGAAAAGTATAAATTTAAATTTTTGTTGGGAAATTGAATTTTGGGGGCAATCTATAACAATCATCCTTCGTGAAACCAGGATGATCGTTAATCCCTTCAGTAATTTAGTCGCCAAAGGTATAACGAGTAAATGGAAATAGGGGGCTCTTAAATTTCGATATCTCGATTTTCTTGAAGACCGTAAATATATAAACTTATTTTTAAGGGATCAGCTTAAGCCCAACTTCTGATGAAGATAGTAACATTGATGAAGAATCTCCCAAAAAACCTTCAAAGGAAACAAATCAGCAACCTGTTAGTAAATTAAGGACTTCATCGATTATTCCAAATTCTTCTTCCTCATCGTCCTCTTTTGCAGATTTATATCAAAAATTTAAAAAGAAGAAAAGTGTGGAAGACGCCAAAAAATTGAAGAAACAAAAAAGTGAAGAAGAAGAAAAATTGGAAAATAAAAAGCGAATGGAAAAATTAAAAAAAGAAGCTTTACAAGAATATTTATCAAGGTTTTTAATATTTTTAAAATTTTTTAATATGTAATTTTTATAGTCAAAGTGATACAGATGATGAATTGAGCTCAATAAATAATAATTTGGAAGGAACAACCGAAATTAAACAAAAGAAGGTAATTAACAGTGAGGATAGCAGTGTTGATGGGGGTGAAGAAATTTCAGATGATAAAGAAAAAAATGAAAATGTTGGAGGAATTGAGGTATGTGAATTTTTTTAGGTTATTAAATATTAATTTCGCGTGTTTAAAGGATGAAAATTTTTTTTATTTTTGTCCTTGAGTACAAATTTTTAGAGAACGAGTGATGACAATAGTATTGATACTTCACAAGATGAACAACAATTTATTTCCGACCACAACGAAATTGTTGAAGAAGGAAATGAAAAAATTTGTGAATTAAATATTGGAAACAACAATGAAGAGGAAAGAGTAGACGATGATTCTGTTAATGATGAACTAGTGAAAGGATTGGAAGAAATTGATCGTTTATTTGAATATAAAGGTGAATTATGAAAGTTATATTTTTTCGATTAAATCTTTTAATGCAAGAAACCTTTATAGGCTTTTTGTTTCTTTAAAAAAGTTTTTTTGCAAGTTTTTTAATTTTATTGTTTTTTTTTTGGCAAAGTTCAATTTATTAATTTTGCAATTTTTACAAAATGAAATTTTAGCCAAACGAATTTTTCCTTTTTCGTATTTTTTGTGTGAGGCTTACAAAAAAAGTTTTTCTTTTTTGTTGGTTAACAAATTGATACTTATCGATTAATTTTCTCTGCTTAAAGCGGCTTTAGAATATTTAAAATGGTTTTTTCGTTCGTTTTTTATTGATTCTCTTTTTTAGTTGTTTTTTGAACACTAATTTTATTTTATATATTTTTAGTCGAAAACATTACTGCAACTGAAGAACAAATGCCAAAACGACAATTGCTCGTTGATGGAGATGATAGCGATAATGGATCTCAAGAAACTGACCAAATGGATTTACAAATTCCTCCAACACCAAAGAGTTATGCTACTGTTGATTCTTTTGAAGATGAACAAGATTTAAGTACAAATGGTCAAATGGCTGTTTATCAAATGGAAGAGGAAACGAAACGAGGCAAACAAAGGATGGCATCTACTTGTTCTTGTAAGATTTTTTTTCTAATCTATTAAGGTCTAAAAAATTGAATCTCAAGATTTGGGTTTTTGGTTATTTAAAGGTAGGTGGCTTCTCTGGTCCCGAAAAAATGAATTTTAGGTTTGCAAGTAGATACTCTAGTTGGAACAGAGGTTCAAACCCGATGACGGACATATTTAATGTTAGAACCCCAAATTCGATCAAGGCGAATTTGATTTTTAAATTAAAAATTTCAAATTTTGTTTAATCTTAACGAATCTCATATATTTGGACTCAGCATCTCTCGATTACCTACTCGCAAACCTAAAAAATCGAAAAGATACTTTCTCATTTTTTTCCGAACCATTAAAAGCCACCAAAGACAGCTTCTAATAGTTATTGATAACTATTATTAAAAATAAACTATTACTAACTATTACTAATATTACTAACTAACTAACTATTAACTAACTACTTCTAACTATTATTGCATTGTTTCTATAACATTAAAAAAATTTCAGCCACAGTTAACCGATCAGCCACAATTCCATCAATCGCTAGTGAGGATTTCTATCAACGTTTACTTGATGGAACTATCGATGAATGGGAAAATCAACCGGAACTGACTGATGAAATATTAGCGAGTATTCCTATGGAGGAAAGGGATAAGCCAGATTATGAACCTTTGGAGGTTTGTTTTAAATCTTCAACTGACTTTACTAAATTTTAATCTTTAGCCAATTAGTGTTGATAGTATTTTCAAAGGAAAGGTTCGTGCTTTTAATTCGCCGAACCTGAAGAATGGATTCGATCTTGGATGGAAGGTTTAATTTTTTGAAATTTTATAACTAAAAAATTTTCCTTAATTTTTAGGTGGAAAGTATTCTTGGAATGACTGCCGAAGATGATAACATGTGTATTGTTAAATTTATTGGATTTAGCACTCCTCAGAAGCTTCCTTATGAATTGGTTCGAGAACATGCTTTACAGGTATTTTGTTTATTTCCGTATAGCTTGTAGAGGAATGAATATTTAAAATATGAAATCAAGGTAAAAAAAGTCATAACAAAGAAAGGCTTTTGTCTCGAAATCCCCCAATATTCGTTTAAATGTTCGTCTCTTATTTTTCTTTTCTCGCCTAGGACTATTTTATGTATCGTCAGTGGATTGGATGTAAGATTAATCCAACATTGAGAGGTGCTTACTGGGATAAGAAATTGCTTAATCCTTCTAGTTGGATGACAGAAAAAGCGTTGACATCATTTAAGCAGTGGAAAGAAGAGGCGGCGCGTAATATTAAAAAATAGGTTTAATTGTTTGTGCTTTATTTGACACTTAAAAATGATATCCCAGTTAATAATGATATTTATGTGTGGTTAGTATTTAAATGTTAGGTATATTTGTTTGTTTGTTTTTATGTCTAAAAAATAAATTTTTTAAAGTTTTTCACGTTTTCTAGTTTAATTACGAATAGGTAAGTCTATTATTTTTTTAGCATTTTATCCACAAGAGAAAATAACTTCAACAACAAAATTTAATATCATTAATCACATCAACTAGAATTTTTTAAAATAAAAAAATGAATTTAGAATAATAATGAGAGAGAAAGAGGGGAAATTAATTTTTCTAGTGATAGATCTAACACAAAATTGAAGGGCTAAAACAACAATTGAGAATAAAAAAGTGAAAGCTTGTGAAGATGTCAGAAATGTTCTTTTTAAAAATAGAAAGATTTTGTGATATTTTTGGAATATTTGTTAGAAAAGAGAAAAAATGAGGAAAATAAATGTGTGAAGAAATTAAACATTTTAAAAAATGTGTTTGTTGAAAGCAACGCGCAAATGTGTGTTTTCGAGAGAAAAAATGTTGAAATTGGTAAAGGAAGAAACTTGTAAATTTTCAAGAAATGTGTCTTGTTCTTTAAGTTTAAATTTTAAAAAAAACTTGGAATAAATTCTGTGCTTTTCTTCCTTTTTTATAAAAACAAATAATCTAAATTTAACAATGAGATTGTTCTTGAAGAAATTTGGAGAATGACAAAGAAAAGAGTTTTTAGTATTTTACTCCAATTATTTAAATTGTCATGGGGGTTTGAATTAGACTTGAAAAACTTTTTAAATATTTGGAGTAAATAAATGGTGAATAATTATTTTTTGAGGCTTAATGAGTATCGCGATAAAATATATCATTTTTTTACTATAATTGTTTAAGTTAGTTTTTTGGAAAAATGTTAGGCAAAAAATGATTAATTTTATCGGTATAAAATAAAAATGCGCGTTGATATAATTTTATAGGAAAAAATATACGGCCAAGAGACCCAAAAAACAGAAAAAATAAGGAGAATTAAAGAAATTAAAGAATTTTGAGGATTTTGATAGAAAAAAATTTAAAAGCAGCCGGGGAAAAGGAGTGAAAAAAAATTTAAGAAGAAAAAAACCCGTGTTTAGTCAAGAAAGGAGAGAAAGAAAAAAGAAATAAAAATTACAAAAATTGCGTAAATTTCTTATACTTTTTTTTGTAAATCATTTCCATCATTTTTTACTTTCATCTTTATTAAATCCATTTTATCTGCTCCTCCCTCTTCTTTTCTTGGCGTGAACACTTTTTTGTTTTTAATACAAGTAATTCTCTTGTATTTTTTGTTTATTTAATTGTTATGCTGTTGTGGGGGAAGTATGTATTTTTTAGCCAAAACACTGACCATGTCTTAAGTAGAGGACAAAAAAATAATAATAAAAATGTGTGGGATAAAAAATTAAATTTTTCTGAGGAGAATATTATTTGTGTTGTTTTTATGCGCGTTGCGTAGTTAAAAATGTTGAAAAAGAAAATTGAGAGTTTTTGTGTGTTGTGTTTAATTCCTCAATTGTTGTTGTTCGCCGTTTGTAAATGTAGAATGTCTTCTCCGCCTTACAATTTGACCGCCATTTTTTTCTTCTGTCCGAAGATATGCTCGATCCAGCAATATTGAAGGAATGAACAATTGAAAATTGTTTGATCTAAAAAATGAGGGGAGGAATAATTAAAAATTTGTTTAAAAATGTTTTTTACTTTTTTTCTAGTCGTTGATTTAATTTCCTTTCTTGTTGATCATCATTATTATTTTCTTCAACATCTTTTTCCATTTTTCTTTCTTGATCTTTTACAAATTTTTCAATTAAATCATTTTGTTGTTTTTCCTCTTCTGTATTTGCTATATTTTTAATTGTTGCTGCTTCTTTTAACTGTTCCATTGGATATTCTGATAGTGGAACTGAACGGCGCATTACTGTTGTGCAACATCTTTAAAAGAAATGAGAATTTTGTAAAAATAATTGAATCTTTTTAAGTACCTAACACAATGTTTAGCTCCAAATCCAACACATCTATGTCCACATTCACAAATATCATCAACATCAAATAATGTTTTTGCTGCTACATAATTTAATATTAGCAATAAAAATAAAAGTTGTTTGAATAAATTTGTGTTTTGCTGCCGTCTTGAAGTTGTTGTTGTTGAAGTCATTTTATTTTTTTGAATAATATAAAAATAATAAATTATTAAATGTAGTTTTAATAATAATGCCTTTGTGTGGCTTTTGTTAAAGATTAATCTAAATTTAAAATAATAATTATTCTGGCTATAAAATAAGAGGAGAATATTCGCGAAAGTTTTTAAATATTTTGTAAGCCTTTTAACACTTTAAATCCGATAAAAATAGAATTTTTAAAATTGAAATAAAAATAGTACATATTTGGAAGGATTTGACGCAATTAGGTAGTTATTTTTGACACATTTTTTTGTTTATTTATTTTTTTTTCTAAATTAATATATAAGGACATGTTTTGGTTGTGTTATATATTATGCTTGGGTGTTTCTTTAGGTATTTTTTAAACGGATATATTTATATCTAAACGGATTTAGTTGTATAATATACTTCCATTAATCCTCCAAAAAATTTTTCTTAAAATAAATCAAGTTTTTTCTTGTTTAGATTTACTTAAATATTTTTAAAATTTGTTAAAAATTATAAAATGAAGTACTAAAATAATATTAAAAATAATTTTAAATTTGGGTAGATTTTGGGGGGGGGGGGGGACTTTGTGGGAAAATGACGCCATTTTTGATTTACTAGAACAAAAATTTCTTTATTGTTCCAAAGGTTGTTTTTGCCCTACAATTTTTAAAATAAAAATATTTTTATGTCAAAAATGATGTGAGAAATTTTTTTTAAATTTTTTTGGAGGGGAACTATATTTGACTTGCATTAGAATTATTTTTAAAAAATTAAAAAAATTAAGTATATCTACTTTTAAGGATTTCTCACATCTAAATACATTTTTTGATATATTAATAATTAATTTTGAAAAAAAAAGAATTTGTGTGGCCAATAAATAAAAAGGAAATAAACAATTATATTTAGCAAAATAATTATTTTAAAAATATCCCACAAAAAGCCATTAAATAGGTGTATAATATAAAGCATCAATGGACAATTAAAAAATACCGAAAAGTGAGCTTTGCCAAATACTGGAAGTTATCTTTAGTTAGGCAGCTTCCCCCAGCTATATGGCAAATCAGATTTTTAAAAAATGTCCACTATAAGCGAGGGGATTTACTTTAGTGGAGAGGGTGAGGTGTATATATTATACTTTCTTCTAAATCTTTTGGAATTCTCTGAATTTTTTTAAACAATTACTAAATACAAATAAGTATCAATTCCCAATTTTGCCTTTTTTTGAAATCAAAAAATATTTTAGGTACAATTATTGGTACACTTTTGTACAATTATTTTTTTATTAGAATTGCGTTAAAAATTAGATTTTAAAATTATTTTTGTTGTTAATTAATTTTTTTATAATTTTTTGTCAGAGCAAAAGGAGTGTATATATTTAGAGATATTATACTTATTTTGTGACTAAATATCGTAGTTTATTTAATTTTATAAAGTTAGTGGAGCAAAAAGGAATGTAAATAAAATAATTGTGTGAATGTGTAAATATTTAGTTGCGATTTAATTGTAATATATATATGTATATCAATTAACTGATAAAAAATTAAAGAATGGAGAATTAAAAATTTTGAGTAAAAAAATTTTCTTTTTATTTGATAAAGAAGGAAGTAAAAAGGATTATAATTAAAAAAAATATTTTTTAGGAAGAGGCGTGGTGAACTGAAAAGATTAACAGCTAAAATAAAAAGTTTTTGGTTGATTAATACGGATATTTACTATATGTGTTTGGGTTTAATTTAAGGGAAATTTTTTAGAGAGTTTTCCTTTTTTAAAAGGATTTCAAAATTAGGTTTTTAATGTTTTTATGTGGGTGTTTATTTCGTAATAAATAAATGTTTTTGATCCAGATTAAAATATATAAAATTGGAAACACTTCACTTTAATTGTATTTATTTGTTTTTAGTCTTTGACGTAGTTAAAGGTCAGGAAAATTTAATAATTTAATAGTGCATTTTACATTGGTCATAAAAAAAATTTTTCTAAAAATATTTTTGATATTTCCGGTAGAGGAGAGGGGTGGGGGGTGATCGGTTAACCTTTAATTGTGGCAACTCAAATAGAGAATAATAAGAGACGCCAGAAGGAAAAATTAACCTGTGGTCAACAACCCTAATTTTCGGTAACGAGGAATATTTTGTGTATTTGTTAAATAATTCTGGATGGGAATTTTTTAGTTTCTGTGTAAATATAATTTTTTTTCAGAATTAATTTTAAAAGAGTTTTTTTACATTAACTTTCTAGACTGTTCATAAAGACTTGGGGATAATAAAAAAAATTAAAATATAATTTTCATTTCCTTTTATTTATATTTGTGGATTAAGAGGATTTAGAATTTCTAGTGGAAACAATTTTCTGGCAGTACATTCCAGCAGTGTCTTCTTCTAAGAAGAGGCATTGCTGAAAATGTATCTCTTAATAAAAGTATTTACTAAACAAAATTAGTCTGTTTATTTATTAATCCTCTTTTCTTTTCAACATTCCATAAAAAACGTAAAACAAAATTTATTTTTTATTTATTTATTTTATTAATATTTTTTGCCAGATTGGCGGAAACTGAAGGAACTTTAGAAAATTAAATTGTAAAATTTGTAAAAGAAAGGAAAAGGGAGTAAGGAGATTTTTAGACGTTCAGGCGTGATTTAATATCTGAAGGGGAAAAGCAGAGTAGGAGGGGGGGGGGGAGGGAGCCTCGGTTGGTAAAGCAATAATACAGGTCGGCTAGAAGGTCGGGGCAAGTTCGATTCTTGCCCGTTATCTAAATTTTATTTCTTTTAAAAATTATTTCAGAAAAATATCCTTTATATATATAAACGTATTTTCTTTTGTATTTAGTAGGTTATTTATTTAAAAAAATAATATTTATATATTTATTTATTTTTTTATTACGTTAAAGAACAGATTTACGTAATAATTATGCACTTTAAAATATTTTACAAACAAATTTTACAGTAAAAACAAATAATATGACAACATTTATTCCCTTTCCCCCCTTTTTTTGTCTTGAAGCGGAAAAATATATTATTTATAAAAAATAAATATTTTTGCTACAATTTTTTGGAAATTAAAAAGGGGAGGAGGAAGTAATTATTAGTTAGCTTATTAAAAATATAAAAGAGTGAAAAAATTAAAATTTAAAAGTTCCTTTTTGTAGTTAAAGGATTAAATAAATGTAGTAAATAAATAAATATTTTTATAATAATTATTTTTAAAATTAAAAGTATTTTTTTATTAAAAATATTTTAAAAATGAACAGGTTTTCTAAATTAAAAATGTTTTGATTTATTTTTAATTTTTTTGGGTATTTAATAAATAAATATATTTAAATTATTTGACTAATTATAGAACAAAATATATTTATTTTTTATCGCCTCAGGCATTTTTGATTTTTAATCAAATAACTTTGAACGGGGAAAACTTAAAAAGAAAAAACTAGTCTCTTTTTATTTTTAAAAATAATTTTAATTGATAAATGTTTGTTGATTAAATAAATGGTAATTTTTATTAGTTAAATAAGGGGGAAGAGGGGGAAGAGGGGGAAGAGTTTTTTATATGGATAAATTTAAAAAATAAAAACAAATTATTTATCAAAATATAATTATATTTTTATTTTACCTTTAAAAGATCTTTGTTTTCTTTTAATTTTATCATTAAACAAAAGAAGAAAATTTTTTTTAAATAAGAAAAATTCACGTGTAAAATAAATGTAAGAGAAATGTTGCTAAATTTTATTTTTCTTTTTATAATTTAAAAATTGGGGAAGGGAGAGGAAGGGGGGAGGGGGGGGGGGGTAAATAAAAAGAACAAAGAGCATTTTATTATTTTTGCAATTTAGAGAAGAGTTGCAACAAACAACAAAAAATTGTTTTTTTTGGTTAGTTTTAGAAAGAAAATGAATGATAATTGAGAGTGTTGGGTAAAAAAATTTTTCTTTAATTTTTTTAAAAAGTTAAATTAATTTTTTGAACTGACAAAACAAAAATTTTTTTCAAAAAAAATTTTTTTCGATTTTTAAATTAATTTTAAAATAAAAATCAAATGATTTAAATTATTTTATTACAAAAAAAGAGAAAATATTTTATTATAATTTTTTCAGTTCTCTGAATTAATTTAACAGGTTTTTTTGAGGGAATCCTCCTCCTTTTGTTTAAATTTTTAGTTGAAAAAAAAGAGAATTATTTGATAAAAAATTAATTAAATGAATGAATAATTAAATAAAAATTATTTAAATAAAATAAATGTGAAAATGGCGTGAATAGCAACTTGTGATTACAACAAAAAATTTTTGTGATAAAAATTGGGCGTTTTTTCTTTCTTTTATTGAGTGCAAAGAACAATGGAGAAAATAGGGGGGGGGAATGATTTTGTTGGATAAATAGTTTTTTGATTAGAAAAATGAGAGGCTTCTCGAGGGTAGGTTTGGAAATAATTATTTTATAGGTTTGAAGCAGAGATATTGAAGAAGGTAGTTATGAATCCCAAAAGCTAAAAACGCCCAAAATACTAGAGTATTTTGTAGTGAATTTTTATGAAAAAAATTTTTTAAATAAAATAATTATTTTTAAAAATTTTAAAAATGAGTAGTATTGGGCATTTAATAATAAATATATTTTAAAAAGAAGAAAAAAATTTTTTCTTAAAGTGGTTTGTAAATGAGAAGTGTCCATCTTCTGTCCAATTTATTCCATTTTATATATTCCCTTTTAGTTTGTGGAATTTGTGGGTGGGGGGAGGGGATTGGTAAATGAAGACAAATATATATATTAAAGAGTTAAGAGGCTCAAGAATGGATGTGAAGAGTGTATGGTTAGCGCAAAAATGGGTGGAGTTTAAAAAATAAAATTAATACTACGTCGGCTAAAAATATGGGGGATGGGTGGAAATAACACGTCAGACTTTTTATTAAGAAATATTAAAGTTTTTAGAGTAAACTGGAATATTTTTTTGATTTCAAAATTTTTTTAATCTTTAAAGAATGTTTATAACAATTAAAAAGTTGAGAGAATGAGCACAC